CCCAATCCATCCCATAATTCCCCCCCAGCCATCCCATAATAACCCCACATGACCCCACATAACCCCAAAATCCATCCCATAATAACCCCCAACCCATCCCATAATTCCCCCCGCCCATCCCATAATAGGCCGTTTCCCATGAGCACCCAGGCCGAAGAAGAGCGGGCAGGCCAGCACGGCGTATCGCGGCCCGGCGCAGGGCAGCAGGACGGGCAGCATGCAGGCGCGGAACACGAGCTCCTCCGACAGCGGCGCCACCACGTGGTTCCGCAGCCAGCGCACGTCGCGCAGCCACGGCAGCGCCCGGCGCGGGGCTGGGGGGGAGTCAGAGCCTGGGGCCCAGGGTGCGGGACGGACCCACGGATCGACCCACGGATGGGGGAGGGACCCACAGATGGACCCACAGATGGACCCATAGATGGACCCATAGATGGGGGGATGGACCCATAGATGAACCCATAGATGGGGGCATGGACCCACAGATGGACCCATAGATGGACCCACAGATGGACCCATAGATTGACCCATAGATGGACCCACAGATGGACCCATAGATTGACCCATAGGTTGGGGGGATGGACCCATAGATGGACCCATAGATGGACCCACAGATGGACCCATAGATGGGGGGATGGACCCATAGATGGACCCATAGGTTGGGGCAGGGACCTCCAGATGGACCCACAGATGGACCCACAGATGGACCCATAGATGGACCCATAGATGGACCCATAGGTTGGGGCAGGGACCCATAGATGGACCCACAGATGGACCCACAGATGGACCCATAGATGGACCCATAGATGGACCCATAGATGGACCCACAGATGGACACACAGATGGACCCATAGATGGGGGATGGACCCATAGATGGACCCACAGATGGGGGGATGGACCCACAGATGGGGGATGGACCCATAGATGGACCCACAGATCGACCCATAGATTTACCCATAGATGGACCCATAGATTGAGCCATAGATGGGGGGATGGACCCATAGATTGACCCACAGATGGACCCATAGATGGGGGGATGGACCCACAGATGGACCCATAGATGGGGGATGGACCCACAGATGGACCCATAGATGGACCCACAGATTGGGGGGTGGACCCATAGATTGACCCATAGATTGACCCATAGATTGGGGGCATGGACCCATAGATTGACACATAGGTTGGGGGAGGGACCCATAGATTGACCCACAGATGGACCCATAGATTGACCCATAGATGGGGGGATGGACCCATAGATTGACCCATAGATGGACACATAGATGGACCCACAGATGGACCCATAGATGGGGGGATGGACCCACAGATCGACCCATAGATTGACCCACAGATGGACCCATAGATGGACCCATAGATGGACCCACAGATGGACCCATAGATGGGGGGATGGACCCATAGATGGACCCATAGGTTGGGGCAGGGACCCATAGATGGACCCACAGATGGGGGATGGACCCATAGATGGACCCATAGATCGACCCACAGATGGGGGATGGACCCATAGATTGACCCATGATGGACCCATAGGTTGGGGGGATGGACCCACAGATGGACCCATAGATTGACCCATAGATGGACCCATAGGTTGGGGGGTGGACCCAGAGATGGACCCCTAGATGGGGGGATGGACCCATAGATTGACCCATAGATTGAGCCATAGATGGGGGGATGGACCCACAGATTGACCCACAGATTTGGGGGGATGGACCCACAGACTGACCCACAGACTGACCCTTCCGCCCCACAGCCCGACCCACAATTGGATGACTGACCCACACATCCACCGCTCTGCCCCACACACGGACCCCTGACCCACAGATCGCCCCCCCGCTGCCCCCCCGACCCCCAGCCCCACAGAAACCCCATAGAAACCCCCCCTTACCCAGCAGCCCCCGCAGCCCCTCCATGCATCGCCATGGGCAGTCCATGCACAGCTGCATCAGCGGCCCCAAAAACAGCACCTGTGGGGCGGGGGGGGTTTAGGGGAAGGGTTACGGCCCCCCCAAAACCCCACAGAACCCCATAAAGCCCAGAGAACCCCATAGAATCTCCCCGGCCCTATAAAAACCTCATAGCATCCCATAGAGCCACATAAAACTCCATAGGATCCTATAGAGCCCATAAAACCCCATAGGATCCCATAGAGCCCCATAGAAACCCCATAGGATCCTACAGAGCCCCATAAAACCCCATAGGATCCCACAGAGCCCCAAAAAACCCAATAGGATCTCATAGAGCCCCATAAAACCCCATAGGATCCCACAGAGCCCCAAAAAACCCAATAGCATCCCATAGAGCCCCATAAAACCCCATAGGATCCCACAGAGCCCCAAAAAACCCCATAGCATCCCATAGAGCCCCATAAAACCCCATAGGATCCCATAGAGCGCATAAAATCCCATAAGATCCCATAGAACCGCATAAAACCCCATAGGATCCCATAGAGCCCCACAGAACCCCCCCAAGCCCTATAAAATCCCATAGGATCCCATAGAGCCCCAAAAATCCCATAGGATCCCATAGAGCCCCATAGAAACCCCTATGGCCCCATAAAACCCCATAGGATCCCATAGAGCCCCATAGAAACCCCATAGGATCCCATACAGCCTCATAAAACCCCTATGGCCCCATAAAAACCCATAGGATCCCATAGAGCCCCATAGAACCCCCCCAAAGCCCTATAAAATCCCATAGAACCCCATAGGGCCCCCTCAGCCCCCCCAAAACCCCACAGAGGCAGCGCTATGGGG